ATATATATATATATATATATATATATATATATATATATATATATATATATATATATATATATATATATTTTCATAAATTATAAGTAGCTCTTTTTATTTTATTATATCTTTATTATTTTTCTTCTTTTTTCCTTCCTTCATTCTTTATTTTTCCATTCTTTTAGTAATAGATAATATATATTTCACAGTTTTTTATTTTTTTATATGAATTATCTAAAGTTTCTTAAAATTTAAAATCAGTTTTACATTTTATTATTACATATATTTTTAAAACAAATAAATTTAATGTAGAAAAAATATATATATATATATTTCAACAATTTTAATTATGTTTCTTTTTTTTAATTATTATTAAAATTATATTATAACCTTTTAACTATATATATGTTAAATATTTACATAAATTTTATTATAATTTAACTATGCGCACATTAAAATATGTTTAATAATGACATATTTTGTTACATACATATGTAAACAAAAAAAAAAAAGAAAGAGATATTTCAATATTATTATTTATTTTCTTTTTTTATTCTAATAATATTAAATTTACAAAGAATTAAATATTTAATAATTTATATATAATTTTAATTTAATTTTTTTTTTTTTTTTTTTTTTTTTTTGTCCCATAAAATTTTCACTTTCATATATCTTTTAATTTTATTTAATTTTATTTAATTTTTTAAGTTGGAATCTTTATATAAAAATTTTATTTTTTTTATTTATTATCCTTCATTCACTTGTTTAATTTTTTTTTTTTTTTTCATTCTTTAAGACGGTTCTTAAATGAAATATTTTTATTAATAATATTTTTTTATATAAAATATATATGTAAATGAAAATAAATTTCTTCCGCTATTGAATTTACACATATTACTATTAAATTCTGCACAATGTAAATTAATTGTTAAATATAAATTTGTTTAAATATTATAAATACTATTAATTTTTTAATTATAATTTATATTTATTATAAATTAAATTTTTCTATTATGTGATGTTAAAAGATGAATACTTTAGTAATTTTTATAAAAAATTAAACTTTATATATTGAAAATTTTACACTAAAAGTTATTAAACTATTTTTAATTTTTTTTTTTTTTTTTTTTTCACGTAAATCGTATAAATAAAATATATCAAAAGTAAAAAAAAAAATAAAAAAAAGTAAAATGAAGAAATAATAATTATATATACATATATATTTAAGCAAATAAAAAATTATTTATCAGACAACTAAATTAAAATAAAATTAAAGAAGCATACAATTTTATATTTTCATTTTTTTTTTTTTTTTTTTTTTTTTTTTTTGAAATATTTTTTATATATTTATGTATATTTATAAAACTAGTGATAAAGATATGAAAAGAATCTTATAAGAACTTCGATTTTTTTCTATATATCGGTTGATATCAGGTTATTCATGTTATACATTGGATTAAATTGTTTGTTTCTTTTCGTATTTTTATTTTTTTCATTCTTATTTTTGAATCTAATATTTTTTTGAAAATGTTCATCTGAGGATGATCTATTTAAGAGCTGCACAAGAAAATTTGATCTCATGATCAAGTTTTGCGTTTTATCAATAACCTGTTGATATAAATTTGGTGGTGTTGTTGATATTTCTATACAATTTTTTTCACTATCAATTTTTGCATCTAATTTAGCATTTCTTATAAGATTTACTATCCATTTTTCTGCATCATCTCTAGATAAGTTTACTTTATTAGCTATCATATCAATATTGATAGACTTATGTATACGGCAATATGTTTCAAATATTATAAAACGACTTTGTTCTTCAATATATGGTTTTAATTTAAATAAGAAAATATCCTTATCACATAAGGAACCAATTTCAGATATACATTTTTGAGCCATATTAAAATCATAATCAATAAATATAGATATAAGTAAAGATGTAAAGGAATCTGTGTATTTTGATTTTAAAAAATTTAAAGTATTCAAAATAAGTTCAAAATGATCCTTTCTATTTCTATTAAATATCGCATAAACACAATAATATCTAATAATATGGGGGCATATTAAATTCAAAATAGATAAATTTTTTTCATCAATAAACCAATCTTGCAGCATAGAAAAAGAATTATTTTTAGGATATATATTTTTAACATAAATGACATACATAAAAAAATGAAAAATTAAAATTAATGACCAATGAATTAACCAGCTTCTTTGTAAAATAATTTCATTTTTTGTTACTTTTTCTTTATTCAGCAAATGACTTAATTTTATAATAGTTTCTACACAAACATTTATTTCATTTATAATATCTTCATTAATAATTACTTTATCTTCTTCATTTTTACAAAATAAATATTCATCATTATTTATATGTTGAAAAAAACTATTTATGATGTTACTAATTATACCCCAATAACAAGTACGCATTTTAGGAGAATCTGAAATATTTATAACTATCTCAGATATATTTAAAATATATAATAATAAGTGCTGTTTACTTTTTTGATAATCTTTTTTTTGATAATAATATCTACTTAATTTTAAAATTTTGTCATCAATATTATCTGAGAAAGTGTATGTTTTATTTTTTTCTGAAATATTTAAATTACTCCATTCACGTAAACTAGCTATACTTTTCTTTTCAACACTTCCTCCTATTTTATTCATTTGATCATTTTTATAATCATTCATTACTTGTTGAAACTCTTCTATTTCTACTTCTAAACTATCTAAACAATTAGAAATTACTCCTCTATTACCATTCGTAAATTCATTTTCAATACTTATAACTTCTTTTTCACAACTATCATTTAGTAAATTTAAGTTATTATCTATTTCTGCTTCATCATGTATCTGAAAAAAGAAAAAAAAAGTGGAAAAATTAAAATCAAAAATAAATGATTAAAACAATAAATAAAAAAAAAAAATTTACGAAAATATATATAAATGAAAACATGTAAATTTATATACATAAGTAAATTTCTGCAAAAACCGTAAATATAAACGTAATTTAAAATAAAGCTAAAATTAATATGATATTCTGTACAAACTTTTTTCTTTCTTAATATAAGAATATTTCATATATTTTTTTTTTTTTTTTTTTTTTTTTTTTTTTGACATACCTTATTTTCCTTCAACCACATTAAAATGATCTGAATCATGTGCGGATCTAAGTAAGAACATAACTTATTCGTTAAATCAAATTGGCTTTTATCAGTATCTTCCATATTATTCATTATATAATTTTTCTTTTTTTTTTTATTTATTTATATATATTTCTTTAAAAAAAAAATAATACTCTTCTAAAAATAACAGAATCTTAGTTTTTTTATATTTTAAATTACATTAAAATTTCATAATTAAAAAAAAAAATTTTCATATAAATGTGAATTTTTCTTTTAAAATTTTATTTTTTAAAAAATTGAATTATATAATTTTTTTAAGAATATTCAATAGGTAACTTTTTTTTTATGTACTTAAATTTTTTAATAAATATTTAACATAAATATACATACTTTTTTTTTTTTTAACAGCTCTTAAATATTCGATTTCTTAAATGAAAATAAATTGAAAAACAGTATATATATTTTTTTTTTTTTTTTTGCGTATTCAAAATTATATATATTTTCATGCTTCACCGCATGAATTATTACAAAAATATAAATACATTTAAAAATAAAATTTTCTATATAATATAAAAAGAAAAAAAAAAAAAAGGTAGAAATAATTAAAAATAATATGTAAATTTTTTTTTCAACATTTCACTTCATAATTTACTAAATAGATTTCTTTATCTTTTTTAATTAAATATTATTTTACATATAAATCTGATTTTTATAAACTAATGAAATGTTACCAAAAAAATTTACTTTTATAAAAATATTTCATGAGTCTATCTTTTTTTTTTTTAACATAATTATCTAATATATAATAGTTTAAAATTTTATATAAAAATATTCTTTATAATAATTAAAGATTTTCCAATATAAAACAACATAAAAAAAAAAAAAGAAAAATAAAGATAAAAGAAAAAAAGTTTTTAAAAATAATAAAGATTGGAATGATATTAGGATTAAATATATTTACCATTTAAAAAAAAAAAAAAAGAAATGTATATTTATTTTATGTATGTTTATTTTTCTTTAGAGTAATATTTTTGATAACATAAAATGAATCAGGTTTATAATAAATACTAAATGATTTAAAGACAATTATATATAATTAAAAGATGAAAAGTAATATTAATTATTTGAAACACATATATTTCTTTTATCAATGGACATTCTTAAAATATATTTAACAGAAAAAGAAATTATAAATAATTAATAAGATAAATTAATTTGAAAATTTATATATATATATATATATATATATATGTTTTACATATACATCATGTTATATTATATATTGTGTTTATCTTATCAAGAGGTAATATTTCATTTGCATTTTTTGTTACTGATTTAATCAAATAATTATTTAACATATTTTGTATAAAAGATATATTTGTGTTTCTATAAATTGTTTTAGAATGTTTTTTAAAAATATTTTTATATGAATAAGCAGATTTAAAAGCTAACAATGTTTGCCACAATTCGTGGATAGAAAAACTTTTGTCAAAAGGTTTTATATTTATCATTTTATATTTCACATGTTGAAATGATTTTTGTAAATTTGAACCTATAGTTATTACTATACACTCTTCTTTATTAGATAATAGGAATTCAACTTCATAAATATTGAAAACTAATTTTTTCTTATAAAATTGTTTGTTATAACTATTATATTCTTTTGATTGTACTTTTTCTTTTTTTTTATAAACTATTTCATCTTCAGAACTATTTGTATTTTTTTTTTCTGATAATGATGAATTATCACCATCAAAACCAATAAGCTTAAAGAAATTAAATCCTGATTCTTTTTCTTTAAGATTATTTTCTTCATTATTGTCATCATTAGAAAAAATGAATTCTATTTCATTAAAATTGATAGACAAAGTAGTGATAAAGGATTTATTATAATTCTTTTCTTTTGTAGAATATGAGTTGGTAGTATATGTCGAATTATCTTCAGAAGATGATGAAGATAGATGGTATAAATTATCTAAAGGATCTTCAATAATTACTTTAACAGAATAATTATTGTTACATAAATATGTTAAAATTCTTAAGGAAACATCTAAAGAAATCAAAACTGGTCCCTTAGAGGCAATTGAAAAAATTTCTATATATTCTGGGTTCCTTTTAAATTTAATAGGTTTAGTCGTTAATGTATGAGGATCAAAAACACTACTTTTTTCTTTTTCTTGAAATTTAAAATTTTTATATATACGTCTATAAGCTTTACAAAATATATATTTTCCTAATGCCTCAAAAGGAATTTGAAAATTCCTTCCTTGATGAATTGGTATTATTTCATGAATCTTATTATCATTTATATCTACTCCTAAAAACCATTCGATTTTATATACTTCATGACAAGAACTGTATGGAGAAATATCATGAAATTCTACTATATTTTTTATATACGCATCACCCTTTATGCTTATAGGATTAGTATTTTTATCAAATATATTATTAGACAAGATATTACTACTTGAATTATCTATTATATTTATATCATGCAAATATATTCCACAATTTACCCTATCTTCATCTTCTATTTCATTTTCATTTATTTCATATTTTTCATATTGTGGTAAAACAATATCAGATTTTTCTTTTTCTTCTTTAGTTTCTAATGATTTTAATATATCAGTTAACTTAAATGATTCTTGTTCTACATTTTTTAAAATATGAATTTCATCATCTAGTGCTATTGGTTCTATGTTATCACTAACACAACAATACTTCATATAATCATCTTTTTTATATAAATTTGAAATATCCTTTTCTATAGAAAAATATGAGGAATTACTACTGTAGCTTTCTGACATATTTCTTTTTTTATACCACAATTAATCATTTTATTTTCTTATCTAGAATTTTTAAAAAAAAAAATAACTACAAATAAAATCTTCATAGTTTTTTTTTTTTTTTTTAATGTTCTATATATTTTTAATAATATCTATTCTAAATAAAAGTATGGTAATATTCGTATTTTCCCTTTATGGGAATTAAATAACATAATATTTGAATATTAAATTAATAAAAAGCAGTAAATAAAAACAATAGGTAAAAACAAAAAAAAAAAATAAAACATTGACAACATTTTAGAAAGAAATGACTTAAATCATACTTATAATTTTTTTTTTTTTTTTTTTTTTTTTTTTTTAAATTGAAATAAAT